GGGGCACCTTCTTCGGGAGAGCAATGAGGAAAATCACACACAATTCTTTTGTTTGCTGTGTTTTATTTATGCTTTATTTGACAAGCAAGGCTTGGCATCGGCCCTCTGGGGTCCTTTTAGCAGAAACGGGGTCTTCTTCCTTTCCCCACCGGGGTGGGGGTTTTGCAATGCCCCGAATCTGCACTTCTCCACCTTGAGCTCTTAGCAAGTTGCTGCAGAGGAGAGAAGAGAGAAGAGTCATCCCAGCAGCAGGAGGAGCAGGAGGAGGAGGAGCAGGAGGAGAAATGAGGGGGGGGAGGCAGCGGAATCCTTCACTGGTGTCCTGGAGAGACCAGAAGAGGTTACCTTTTGGGACAATGGGCACAACCTCTCCTGTGATCCCCACAGAGGCAGCAACGTTCTTGAATTTCGTCTCCAAATCTGGCGTTAAGTTTTGTTGTTTACCTAGAGGAAGCATGAAGTTTGAGAGAGACAGTGGCAGGAGGCCTTGGGTTTGGGGGTGCTGCTCTGACTCAGAGCTTTGCCCCCAAATTTCCTGGTGGAAGGATGGAGACAATCAGAGGGGGGAGATCTAGAGGCGTGGGAGGGAAGTGTTTGCCCTGGGGCAGAGATGCCAGGGGGGAGGGGAGATGCCTCACCATGGAGGTCCCATCTGGCACCCCAAAGAGAGTGGTGGAGGTGGCCCAGTGGGGGCGAGAAGCAAAGGGAGGGGCCTTGCGTTGCTGCCAGCAACATTAGAAAGGGCGAGGACAAAGGTGAGGGTCTCTCCCGAACAGACCCCCACCATCCCCAGCTCTCTTACCTGCAAGCTTCAGGAAGGTGTCCATCCCCCGTGCGAGGTAACTGATGATGTAGGTTTCATAATCCGTATCTATGATTTGACCAAAGGTGAGGCCTTCCGTGCAAAAGAGAAGCTGCTTAAAATCACCTTCAGGGCAGGAGCCTGTAACACACACACCCCCGCGCCCATCTCTCGAGAATCCACCGTCTCCTGGGGGGGTGGCTCAGCCCCGGCCCTGATCCTCCAAGGAGGGGCCTATGAATCCTCTTGGGGAGCATGAAAGAAGTGAAGGGGGGGGTCAGCAATTCGGATGAAAGAGGGGGGGATTCCCCACTTACCTGAGGTCTTGAATTTCCCCGGCGTCTGATATTTAGTGAACGGGAGCTGTCTAGTCTTGCACTGGCCGTTTCTGGAAAGAAAAGGGAACCACACAAACTTTAGAGGGAGCCAAGCAGAGACAGGCTCAGTAATCTCCCAATATCTGGGTTGATGATGATGATGATGTAATAATAATAATAATAATAATAATAATAATAATAATAATAATAATAATAATAATAAAGTTGGAAGGGACCTTGGAGGTCATCTAGTCCAACCCCCTGCTCAGGCAGGAAACCCTATACCATTTCGGACAAATTGCTGTCCAGTCTCTTCTTAAAAACTTCCAGTGTTGGAGCATTCACAGCTTCTGGAGGAAGGTTGTTCCACTGGTTAATTGTTCTAACTGTCAGGAAGTTTTTCCTTAGTTCTAGGTTGCTTCTGTCCTTGATTAGTTTCCATCTATTTGTTTCCTGTCCTGCCTTCAGGTGCTTTGGAGAATAGCTTGATTCCCTCTTCTTTGGGGCAGCCCCTGAGATACTGGAACACTGCTATCATGTCCCCCCTCGTCCTTCTCTTCGTTAAACTAGACATACCCAATTCCAGCAACCGTTCCTTATATGTTTTAGCCTCCAGTCCCCTAATCATCTTTGTTGCTCTTCTCTGCACTCTTTCTAGAGTCTCAGCATCTTTTTTACATCGTGGTGACCAAAACTGGATGCAGTATTCCAAGTGTGGCCTTACTAAGGCCTTATAAAGTGGTATTAATACTTCACGGGATCTTGATTCTATCCCTCTGTTAATGCAGCCCAGCACTGATGATGGATAGGGGAGTCCAAAGCTGCGCCTCCTTTTCCTTCAGGCTTTCCCCCACCTGCCCTCTGGGGGAGGGGAACCCTCGGCCAGGACAGCGAGGGCATTACAGCCCCCAACACTCACTCAAGAGAGTTAAAGGTGTACATCAGACCTCCATTCGGTTCGGCCTTTAATGTGTATTGGGGGAACTGCTTTTCAATAGCTATGCTTGCGAGAGGGTACCAATTTCCAGCAACCTAGAAAAAGGGGAAACCAGGAGAGTCTGTTAGCACCAAAGGGGAGGGCCCCCCAGAGGGCCCCCCAAGTCCGAATCCTTCCTGCCAGACCTGGGGAAGCTCTCAGGGCCATGCCAGGAGCGCCAGGAGCAGAGTCAGTTAACTGAGCGTGCCCTCTGGGGAAGCCCATTTGCCTGGCAGAGGGTTTCACGCTGTCCACCAGAATTGGGTGCTGAATCAGGGAGACACACCAAAGACCTGGCCAAAGGAAATTTGGTGAAAATCTGGCAGTGGGGAAGACGCCTCTCTGGAGCCCAGAAGAGAGACAGCCATTGAGGCTTCTCCTCCCAAACTGAAGGGGAGGGGCTCCCAAACTCTTCGTGCCAGGCCTGCGTAAACTCCCTTGCACCATTTGTAAGGAAAGCCAACCCTTGCAGGGCTGATGATGTTCCCTAGTTGGGTTGTGAAACGCCTCCCAGCCAACCACCCAGCACCAAGGGCCCCACAGGGCCCCCTGGGCTTCTCTCCTACTTAGAGTTGGGAGGAGAAGAAATTCCTTCCAGGATTTTCCGCTCTGACCCTTTGGTTATTGAAGTTCGGCATGACGGGGATGTCCGTTGCGTCTCCAAGCCAGCAGACGCCAGCCAGGAGAAGGCTGCCCAGCAGGAGCTTCATTGCTGCCACTCTGTTGCCCTTCTGGGTGCTCAGCTTTGCCCGCTGCTTTTATCCTCCGGACGCTCAAGCCAGGTGAATCTGCCCTTGTCCAGGAAGCTATCGAAAAAGGACGGCATGGACCATTGACAGGAGAAATGGGGCCCGGATGGCTGCCCTTCGGAACACAGCAGGATGGGACGTTCCCTGCAGAGAGAGCTTGGGAGCAGTGCCTTCCCTCCTCAGCAGCCTCAGTGTGTGTGTGTGTGTGTGTGTGCATGCGCATTCATGCCCGGAAGCACCCCACTGCTCCCTGCCCGGCCTTGGTCTTTTGGCTCCCCAATCCCTGTTTGACCTTCTGGGGAAGGATGGAGAGAACCGAAGGGGGGGGGAAGAGACACAAGGAGGGAAAGGCCTACCTCAATCTCCCTCCTCCCCCCCCCCCACCATGCCCCTCAGCATCTCTTCCCCAGGGAATCCCTTCCCTCTCTTTGTCTCGCTCTCCCCCCTTCGGTTCTCTCCACCCATCCCCAGGGATTTGGGGGCCAAAAACATGGCAGTCCTGTGGGACTCAGAGGCCAGGTTGTGCCTATGTCCCTGCAAGGTAACCCTTCGGTCCCTAGCATTCCTCTCCTGGGCTGGTGGAAACTCTCCTGGGCAGACCTGGGGAGAGTTTCCTTTCATCTTCACTGGCTGAGCTTAGAGATACTTAGGGCTCATCAGCGCATCAGAGAAGGATGCCTCCTCCTCCTCCTCCTCCTCCTGCTGCTCCTCCTCCTCCTGGGAGATAACTGACTCTTCCTCCTTCTCTTCTCAGCAGCAGCCTTCTAAGGGTCCAGGGCGGAGGAGCTGGCTGAGTGCTCCTCACCAGCAAAGTGAGGGTTGAGTGCTCCTCCCTGGCACTCCTGGGGGCTTTTGGCTCTCTTGGCACCAGCCCAGCAGCAGCTCTTAAGTCATCCCCGTAGGTCAGTGGTTCTCAACCTTTTTAATGCCGCGACCCCAACCGGTTGTAAGTCGAGGACTAAACCGGTCGAGTATTAAACTGGTCGTAAGTCGAGGACTACCCAACCGGTCGTAAGTCAAAGACTTTCCCTGCCCGGGAGTGCCGCGCATGTGTAGTTCCGCCCCCTGCGTCAGCCGAGGCGTAGCTGGCAAGCGGCAGAGACAGAGCAGGCCGACCACCAGCTGGCCCAGCCCAAGGGAGGTAAGGCACCCGCCGGAAAAGGGGAAAAAATGGACAAAAAAAATGGCGGACAGGCTTGCTTGGCGACCCCCATGAAATGGTCGATCGACCCCAAATGGGGTCCCGACCCACAGGTTGAGAACCACTGCCGTAGGTGGCTTTTAGGCATTTGTACTATCGTCTCCGTTGTATCTTTACATGTTGTGCCTCTTTCAGTTGAATTTACGTGTGGCTCACGCCATGAGAGAACAGGCTTTGCACATGCAGCTTTTGATCCTTCAGTCACGTTGACCACATTTCTACACAATCAGTGTGATTATTTACTTGGTGCACACCTGTCCCCAATTTTGAAGCCTGGCATCATTTTGGCCGTTGGACCTTTTGTTGCTTACTCTGAATTGGTCAATTGGTCATTTATTCCAAATTGGAAGTCCGATTCTGCTCCCAACCAACCAGCAGGGAAAGAGCACCACCTGGAAGATACCTGATGGTCGTGTTGATCCAGTTTTTCCCTTGTCACTTTGCTTTGGAACAGTTCAGCCTCTCTCCCTCCAAAATGTGTTAAACCCACATTCAGTTGAATTATCATCAAGTGAGATCAGGGTCTTGATCAACAAGGAAGCAGATTGTGGTCTTATGGACATTGATCTTGGAGTCCCCACTTCAAATCCAGCCTCAGCAGATAAAAGCAGGAGGGTCCAGGGCAGGCGGGAGGCAGAGTCCATCTGGCATGATGGGCAGAGCTGGCCGCAACCTGTGGAGGGGCAGACAGGTCCACCTGCCCAGGTGAGCAGCAGGCAGGTGAATTCTGGGGGAGATGGGAAATAAAGCTCTGCTTTAAAGAAGAATGTGCTTTTTCACCCCAAATGTTTTCCTTCCATTCCAGTATTGAAGAGGCTGGGCCTGGCTGGCAATAGACGACGGAGATCCTGTGGGGAATTTGAGGCTTCCCTGCACCTGCAGGGCCCCAGGGACCCCCAGGCCTTCCCGGG